ACTCCTCTGAAGGGCAGAACCAGCGTTACTTGCACCTGCCCGCTGCCAGGTGAAAGCGCCAGCCCTCCTTCCCCCGAGGAGGAGGAGGAGAAGAAAGAGAGCTCGAACACCCGCGCCTCAGGCTCGGCCGACTCACCTCATTTTCCCCGCAGCTGAGCTTTGCGCAGCCGTTTCTAGCTAGCCGCCTTTCCCCCCACCGCACAGCGGGAAGTTTCCCCGCCCCGGCCCGGGATTCGGCGACGCTCCTGCAGCAAAAAAGCGGCAGCAGCTGCTATTCTGGCTGTCAGATGCTCAATGGAGGAGCGCCCGAGAGGAGGAAGAAAAGCCCGCCGATCGCTGGCGACTTCGCTCTTGCATCTGCTCTTCAATTCTGCCGCCTCGCTCGGCTCCTCCAGCTCGCAGGCAGTGGCATCTTCTTACCTCCCCACCCTCCCCCCCGCGGCCAAGGGCGCTAGCTGGGGAGCCACTCCTCGGCGCCTGGCAGCTGGTCCAGGGCCCCGGCCATCTCCCCCCGCCGTTTTCCCGGGATGTGGCGAGGCAAGAGTGGGCGTGGGACAAATCGCTGGCGAAGGAGGAGGAGAGGGAGGAGGAGGAGGCGCACAAAGCCCGCGGGGCTCTGCTGCCCACTGCTGCCGAGAGACACTTCCGCCAGTCTGTCTGCTGCTACTGCAGCTCTCACGAGCACCGCGGGCCAGGCAAGCCCATCCAAGCACGCGCAAAGTGGAGAACGCAAGCGGAACGTTTCTGCAACACAAACACCGGCAAGCGCGCACGCGCCTGTCAGTGCGAACAAGGTGCGGGCGCGCTTCGCCTTGTAGGTCTCTGCCGATTGCTCCTTTGAAAAAGGAGTCGCGGCTCCCCCGCTGGAATTTTCAGTGCAATTAGCGCAGAATCTTGAGGTACCCTATTAAATGTAGTTTGTGTGTGCGCAAATTTTCGTGGGTTCTTACCGGTTTTTTAATTCCTTAAAACCGATACAAAATGTGATGCTGTATGTATACTGTGTAGCTTTCTCCAGTCTGTCCCTGTGCCTTACGAGTTGGTGTAGGATTTACCTCAAAACCAAACACTATGGCTGGGAATCCATTGGAGCTGAAGCCGCTTCAAAATCAGTAGTAGTTCCAATCGGTAAAGGTTCTCTTTGCCCCAGCATTGAACAAAATAGAGCCCAAACTTCTAATACCAGTATAGTGGAGCCTACTTGCTGTAATGTAGTTACAAACTTTTAAGCATTTTAAATGCAACAATTTGTATTTTCAATAGGTATTGTCCAGTTGATCTATCAGTTAAAATGTTGTCCTGAATTGGTAAGTGTGTACATAAAATGTATACAATCCACTAATGCTTTTGGCAGAAAAGGGGAACAAAGTGTACTCTGAAGTAAATATCCTTCAGTTGAATGGGTTTATTCTTGTATATGTCAGGGTGAACAACTCTTTTAAGATATGGCAGCAGTTGGTGTTAGTGGAGAAATAGTTTCCATTTGCTGAATGGAAGAGTCTCTTCTAAGTAGCTCTTACATAGGATCAAAGAAGAAATGTTGTAGGATGGAGTCAAGTGTCTTCCAGGTGACAACTGGCCCAAGCCTTTAAAGTGCCACAAGATCATGCTTACATGGTCTATTACATGTAAACCAGAGATTGCAAACCAGAGATTGCAAAAGGTGACCGTCTGTAGCTCAGAAGACTTCAAAAATATTTTACACAATTCAGGAAAAAACACACACATGAAATGCCCAATTCAGAGGTGTGCAGGAATGTCTGGAGGAGGGGGTGTCAGAAAGATTTGTGAAATATGCCATTCTTTTATGTAAATCAAACATGTAGTTTAGAATGGTATGTTGGTGTCTATCTCTCAACTTAACCCATGTGTGTGCTCTGAGTCAATCTGCCAAAGCTAGCTCACTATAAATGGAGCAGTTTTAAAGGCACTACATATTTTAAAGGTACAATACTTAATAAACAGACTAAATTCTCCCTGATCTTTTTACAGAATGCCTAAAATCAACAGCTGATATGGAAAAAGGCTCTTGTAGCAATTTTTAACATTGATTCCATCCTCCTTACTTGATTGGATTGATTGGAAAATCAAAGGTAACTCTGAATGGCTCCAGAAGATCTCTGGAAACTAAGTGATGCACATTGAGGCAAACTGTGTCCTTTATGTATATATTGGTGAGGTCTCAGCTTTTGAGGTCATGGTCTTGAGAAAAGTGATAGAAGAAGGAACTGCCATATTGTAGTACTCTTGTACCAATCTATGATACAATTACACCTGATTATTTCTTCACACAACATATAATTAAGGTGTCGAATTCATCACATGGCATGGTAATGGCTACTCACTTGATACATTCATGGAAGAGAAACCTATTAAATATTAGCAGTGCCTTCCACTAATTACAAAGGAATACCAGTTGCAAAGGAACAGAGTTGGAAGGTCTTGCTTGAGAGTATCTAGATGTAAATGGGTGGCCACTGTGAGAAACAATATGGTTGATTCTATGAACTGATCCAGCAGAACTACTGTTACACTGATAGTAGAATTTAACAACTCATGAGCTTATCTTTAGTAATCCTAAGTGAAACACATCCTGACAAGACTTTTGTTTTTATAGTATTAGATTAAAACAAAATAAATATACTACAGTCATTTATAATGTACACATACAAAGAGTGGTCAGTACTCTTTTGCCAGCAAGACCCTACAATCCTGATCAATTTGATGAAGCCAGATAATGGAGCTTTCAGGAGTAGAAGAGAAATTATTCACAGGTGATAACCATGGTTCACATCCTACTAACTTGACTGGGTAAATTCATTGTTATGATTATACTATCCATTGAAAAATGTTTATTAAAAACTATTTCAGATATATATGAACAAACATTTTAAGACAGTTATTTTATTTTAACTTTGTATTTTTCAGTATATTTTCCTAACTTTAGAATTGTTCTGATTTTTCTCTACTTTTGATTTCTAAAGTATTATTTTATCTAGCGCTGATTTTGTTAAATGTTTTGCTGAGTTTAAATGCTTTGATACAAATTTTCATATATTTAATATTCACTACAATTTATTTCAAGTGCTTAAACACATGTTGCAACAAATAAATTCTATCAATGAATTTTGTATATAGAAATCCAGCACTGATGAACTGATTTCACCTTCTCTGTATAAAAGCTAATATTTAGAAATACAAATACAAAGGCAAAGTTCATGTAGATTCAGATTGCTTTGGAAAGTTCTATTCTTGTATAATACATTAAAAGTTTCAATATCAAATTCAATTCATATTGAAAAGTATAATTTCAATCAAACACTACACTGATGTTTATTAGTGTCCTGCAATTTCAACATAGCATGTCGGATATGTAATTTAGAAGGCTTCCAATTTATTAAAACTTCAGCCTCTAAAAACCAGAGCTTAATGTTTCCTTTCCATTTGAGGAAAAAGGCCTTTTATTATTTAGCTTTTCAGAGCCTGTTTGTAATTTTGTTCATTTCAAATATTTAGATAGATTTCCCCCATATAAACAGAAAATTGTAACTGGTTAAACAATCAAAACGTGTTAATCTGCCACATGAGCTATTTTATGCTATTTCTAGTCTTACTTCATTGCAAAACACAGTCTCTTCTTATACTATAAATACCAATCCATGAAACACTCGAGCAAAAAAAAAAGGGCAAATTGTTCATTATTATGCAGGGCATTACCAAATATGTTTTATCAAGTGGCTGCATTGCATGATTTGATATCAGGCATCCTTTGCAATGGGACACAGACCTCTTGAACTGAACACTGTTGCACTGACATCTTTAAATACAGCAAACGTATTTGCCCCAGGGGCCAAAAAATTTTTCTTAATGGTTCACATGTTTATTTTCCCATTTCCTCTGCTGGTTTATAGTAAGCTTAAAAAGATCTCTTTATACATGATCTACTGGATCTTAAAATACAAATATACAATATCCATAAGCAAAAGACAAGTAAAGCTTTGAATGACTCACTATTTCTTATGAACTTCTAACATTTTTATACATGTATAAACATTCATGCTGATCAACATACAGAATGATTTCCTCTATTAACCAAACATCTGAGAAGGGATCAGACAGGTCATTATTTGTAAGAAATGCTCATTATTATTATTTTCAATTTAAGTTGGAGCTGTAATTCCTGCTCGTATATTCAAGTTAAAACTGTGGTAGTCCATATTTAGGGTCACCACATCTGTGCTGTAAAAATCTACATAAGCACTTTTCCCCCTTCCATTCAACTTTATGGCAGGAAAAAAAATATTTCATCTCCTTGCTGCCATCTGGTGTTCATCTGGATCTCTGCAGCATAGATACAGTAGTATGTAGTATGTATAATTATGTATAATTTCAGAGAATGAAATCAAAGCACAATTTGAACCTTTTATTTCATTTCACAGGCAACCTATGAAGGCTCCACTGAAATGAACAACACACAGCAGCAGTGTTTAATGGTTGTTTACTTATCTCATCTTGGTCTAAAATTTCTGTCTGCTTTCTTCACTGTTAATTAGAAATAGATGTACCATCATTTATGCAATCGTTGATATTCAGACAATGTAATTAAGACAGTACAGAGCTGATAAACAATAAACAGCAAAGCAGCCATGTGTAATATTAGAATAAGCTTTTTGGTGACTATTTAATAGATTTTTTTTTCATTTATATTGCATAAATATTCAAGCCATGACTTCATTTTAAACTTGAATTTCTTCATATAATATACAACAAAGAGATGATAATTGTTTTTTGAGGTGATGCTTAATGAATAACCAAAATAATTATGGTAAGTAGCCGAGGACTTAACTTTCCTGAGGTTTGTAAGGATTTCAAAATTTCAAAATCACAGTGACTAGGGCTAGACAGTAACCATACTGTTAAATTTTCAATATACATCTTGTACAGAACTGTGATGCAAGGCCAGTTCTTGTTTGCACATATAGCTTCATGCAAGAATTCTCCTAAATAACTCGCCATTGCATAATACTAGTATCTTTTCCACCTGTGGAGATGAGATGAGTATCTTCATATAGAAAATCTACATTGGTTACATGACTGCTATGTCCACCATACACATGACTTGGAGCCTGAAAGACATAAATAAAAAGGCACATTCAGTAATAAAGTCAGAATTGGTAAAGGGAACAACATAACCTGTCAGTTATAGCTAATAATTAGAGGCCAATCTAGAGAGAAATCATGCTATGTTGTTCAGCAGGTGATACCACCTGTCTGACCTTGATTCAGCTTGGAAGCTAAGCAAGATCAGACCAGATGGGCAACAACCAGGGAACATCAGGGATGAAAGTTAAACTGGGAAATAAACACACAAGAAGAATGGAACAAACCAGTTTCATAGTCTGGCATTATTTTTGCTTCCATCAGCCATGCAGGAAGGTACATCACTATGCTTATGGCTAAAACCTATACTTCCTTGATAAATGTACACTGGAGTTTTGCTATGGCTTCTGCTGCTACATTTTTTTTTGTGTGCCTTCAAGTCACTGTTGACTCCTGTCAACTGCTTAGACAAGCCTTGCAGTTCTCTTGGCAAGATTTCGAAAGTTGTTTGTTGTTGCCACCTACTAGGGCTCAGGAAAAAGTGACTGGCCCAGGTCACCCAACTGCCTTTGTGCCTAACAGGGACTAGAGTTCAGATACTCTCTCTTCCTAGGCATTCTTACCACTGGACCATACTATCTCTCTACCAGGATATTAATCCAGCATATAAAAGGAACATATGGTATATATAAAAAAGATTTTCCCAAAGGTTCTTTTCCAAGAGGCAGCCAGACTGTCTGGTTTTTCTTTTAAGACATTTCACTTCCCATCCAAGAAGCTTCTTCAGCTCTGACATTCTCTACCATCCAGTCAGAGCTGAAGAAGCTTCTTGGATGAGAAGCAAAACGTCTTTAAAGAAAAACCAGAAAATCCGGTTGCCTCTTGAAAAAGCACCTTTGGGACAATCATGACCTGGATGACTTGAGAATCTCCATAAATAGACAAATATATTATTTTCAAATGTATTTGCTTCTCACTGCTTTTAATGTAGGAATTCTTAGTCATTTAACTCCTTCTTTGATTGACAACCAGATAATGCAGCATAATTTGCATTGGTCCCAGAACAATTTGCTTTTAAAAAACAACCCATTACTGCAGGCGAGGGCATTAAGTGTTTAAATCTAAATTTAAACATTTAAACAAGCTTCCCGCTGGAGCAGGGATATTGATTTTGTCTCTAATGTTTCAAAACAGTATTGTTATCTGTGGCCACTTATTCACTGATAAGACTAAGAATCAGTAAGGCCAATTTACATAGTTGCAAGGCCACAGGGATTACATTTATCATTTTTAATAGATAAATGTATTTCCTAGAAGTGAATACCGCATCAAAAATAACTTCACTAACTTTTCAAGATAATGCACACCATAATCTGTAACACATCAGATTCATTTAGGAATTTTAGGATATATTTTGAAAGCTATAAAAAAGGAAGAAAGTCAATTTTATCTTTAAAATGGATACAACATTGATGTGCCATGGTGGCACAATGATTAGAAAGCAATATTGCAGATTAACTCTGATCACTGCTAGGAGTTCAATTTCTTCATTTCTGACTGGTTCAAGGTTGACTCAGCCTTGCATCCTTCCGAGATCAGTAAAATGAGGATCCAGATTGTTGGGGGCAATATGCTGACTCTGTAAACTGCTTAGAGAGGGCTATTGCTATTTGGTATAAGCACATTTCCTAGCTTGAGAAGACAGATATCAAATAATTAAGTTCTTTTAGGCATTCAACTCTTTTAATGTTTTCTGTTTTGTAATTTATTAAATGAATTGTTCTGTAATTCTTTAGTGAACAGCTTTATCTAAATTAATATCATTTGATTCCATTTTAAAATGCTAATGAGGAAACCTATATGGACTGATATATGTATTTACTGAATGACTGTGATATAAATTGTTACATGGATATAGTACTATCTAAATCTGCATGAAATTCAATGAAAGAAACAATTATAAATACAATTTAGTTTCTATAATTATTAAAATAATAACTGAAACCATGTTAAATTCAAGTTGACAGAATACAAATAAAAGATACCTTCTTCAAAATATTCAAATCAAACAGTATGAATGATTTAATCAAAACAACTTATGCAAATAGTCTCCAATATAGCTGGTGCCTTACCCTAAATTGTGAGCATGGGTAAGAAAAGAGATGTACTTTGCCAAAGTCATCACCAGTTGATAATAAATTTATTTCATGTGAGCGACAAAGGGCATTTATATCTGTGCCATCTGAACCTTCTGGCCATACACCTAAAATAAGAAATAATCATTTATATATTCAACTTTTTGAAGATCCCACTTCTTGCCAAAACTACAAATCTATCTGCATTATATTTCTGAACTGCTTAAAATATGGCATAAAACAATCCAGATCCCATTTCTTGGCACGTATCAGAATCTGGATGTCCCAGATAAAAACAGAGACTGAAACATGTGCTGAGATATAGCACTGGTGTTTTGTTAGACTGGTATATGTACAGGTTTAGTAAACACAGACTGAGTAAATATATCATGACTAAACCATGGATTGTTCAATATATGATAATAGCTAGATTTAAATTATATTATATAATATAAACCAAGGTTTATAAATAATGGTAGCTAGATTAAAAAGATGGTCCAATACACAGTCATGTAATGCTCATTATGGCTTAGCACAAATTATGACACCAGACCAAATATGCTGCTATGAAGAAAGAAAAATGGAATTTATGTTGATTACAATGTAATAGTAACAGTACCGTGTTTCTCATATAATAAGGCTGGGTCTTATTTTTTTTTGAGTCCTGAAAAAATGGCTAGGCCGTCTTTTCGGGGGTGACTTAATTCTCCCCCCCCCCTGCATCTTCGGGCAGGCGGCGACAGCTTGGATGTTGACCTCGGCGTTGGTGGGGCACTTCGTATCGGGGTCAACACAGGCAGCACCATATCCGGGTGTGCAACAAAAGTACTTCCTAACGGCAAGCCCCCCCCACCATTCCCCACCATTTCGCATGTTTTAATATAGGCCTTAATTTGGGGGGAGGGGCTTAATTTCATTTCATGCCTATAAAACATGCTGGGACTTCCTATTGGGGGAGGCCATATTGTTGGAGAAACAGGGTAGTAGTGCTATTAAATTTATCATGTACTCATAACTATGAAGAATAAAAGCATAGAATAGAAACAGATATTAATACTATAGCCAGGAACAGTCAATTTAAAAAAATCATACTATAAAACAAGAAGTCTCAAAATTAAAAGAGCCTTAACATGTTACAAAAGATGAATGAATGCCTCCAACATTATAAATATTATAAATTGCCTATAGATGGCAGTAATGAACATCATATACTTACCAAAAACATGAAATCCTAGAGTACACGTGTAAGTAGCCCATTCTATATCTCTAGTGGTTTCCACACTTACTACTTGCTTACAAGCTGAAGGAACCCCTATTAAGAATAAAAAATTGGGAATGAAAATATTAATGATAAAGCGTTAGGATAATTATAACTGAAAACTAAAAGACCAAAGATAATCTCTATAATGGAATCTTGGTACTAAAGAACATACTCTTTATTCAAGGCAATATACTATTTGTTACTTACAGTATAGGATTTCATAGTCCCCTGAATTAGACACAAGATACTGAGAGTTAGCAGACCAATCCAAGTGAGTAATGAAACTGGAATGACCCTATGAAGAGATGCATTGTATTAATTCCAACAGCATAACATTATACATAGTTGCATCTTGCAACAAACCAGAAGTTGTGGAATGTTTCCAGTAGAGTGCCTAAAAAACTTTTGTCCCACCTACTATGCAAGTATGGACTAAGCTGTTTCTTAGCTGACCATTCTCTTGGCAGCATCTTTTTGTCCACTCTCCCAACATCTTTCTCACAAACAATTATACTTTGACCTTAAAAACTTGTATTTGTCTTGAGTATTTATTTTATGGTAATCCTGACTGTATAATTCGAATGAGAAATCAGTAACTCGTTCTCCAGTTTCAAAATGATTTTAATTATTGGTTCATAAATGCAACAAATTCTTGACTATTTACTCTTTTCTTTTTGAACCCCAAATTATTGTTACTGTCTTTCTGGAAGCAATGTGAACAAAAAAAATGTCAAAAAACTCACTCTATTCAATTCCTCAATCAGTGCAGGACATCACTAACATTTTAGTCCTAAAGCCTGAGTAAGAGCCATGTTTTTAGGCCTTTTGAAAGGCCAACAAAATTGGGGCCATGTACACTTTAGGGGAGGGATACTGTTCCCCAGGGTAGGCACAATTACAAAGAATATGTAATCATTTAACTATACACTAATCTTTCAATAGAATTAAACATTTTCAAATATTTGTTACTCAAATATTTTGTTACTTTCAAGATATTAAATAAATCAACTTGGGATATTAAATAAATACAAAAAGAAGCCTGTATGCCTAAGAATATAATAAGATTATGACTTACTGAACATTTGCCAATTCTACTGTATTTTCTTCCATTGTCACTAACACTGTATATATAAATGCAATTGTCATGAGAGCCTATTGCCAAGAAGTTGCCATCTGCAAAACAGAAACAATAAAACTGTAATCACACTGATGAAGCAGAAATATTATTTGAGCAAGCACTTTTAAAATATATCTGGAAGTGAGATTACATACAATAAGGCACTGGGAAGAGATCCCTTTCTCCTACATGAATTTTTCCATGTTTCAGTTTAAATCTGAGGCCCTATTTCAGGGAATGAAGGCATCTAAGTGTATTAATTGATATAAATCATTTCAATGACACTTTCTTTATTATATTCTCTCCTTAAAGATTTACAAAGGTTTTTAGGCTTGTGGGGTATGGTGTTGAGCTGTGATGATTGCTTTTTAAAAACATATTTTTAAACTGATTTTTTATCATAGGATTTGTTTAATTTTATTATTCATATTTTGTTTTGTACAAGGAATTGTATTATAGAGGCTGCCCTTGAGGGACCACCATAATACAATTTGAGGTTTTAATAATTACTAGAATTATAACATACAAACATATATTTCACCAAGAGCTTTTATTCAAGCATAAATACCACAAGATATTAGAAAACTTAAGACCTGCTTAGCTGCTCGAGGGGCAATCTGTATTTTTGCTTTTATATTTATTAATAAGGTTTTTATATTGTATATTTTTTGATTTTATTTATTTATTGTTCTTATTGATTCTGGTTTGCTGCCCATAGTCACCATTGGTGAGCTGGACAGCTATATAAAATTAATTAATTGGTTACTTATACAGTATTTCATTCAGATCAATGAATGAAAAGAGCAACTCTTGGTGGTTTGAATCATAAGGAATGAATGCATAAGTCCATTGCGATGAGTCAACATGAAAGTAATTTTTAGCATGGTCTACCAGTGACAAATGGGCAAAAGACACAGTCATAGTAGCAACTGGATACTGAGGTATCTGGTTTCCAAAAGTGAAATTAGGATTAGGATATGCCCTTGCCAAGCTTCCCATTACTACAAGGAAATTGCACCTATGTGGTTAAATTCTACTATATTCGCTTATTTATTTAGATAATTTATATGGCTGCCCGCTCATTTTTTAGTGATTCTAGGTGAAAAATATAAGCCCAATATACAAAGAGTAAAAACAACACACACACACCCAATCTCTCCTGGCGACAACAAGCAATCAAACAAGCCATTTGATGGGCTTCATCCCACTCTGGATTCCGCATCACGTCTGCTTCCTATAACCATATTCTATATCACTTCAAGCTTCCCAGCATAAAGTTTAGCATAAAGTTCATCTTAGGTTAGGACAAACCTAATGCACATGGGTTTTTGACACAACAGTTCATTATTTTACTATTTACAAAGGAATTCTAGTAACATGGTGCAAGAGCTTAATCTAGACACCACACCTAAATCAAAAGAACTGACTGAAAGTCATAGTAGCATTATTATGCCAAAATGAAATGATACAAATTTGCAATTGATGAAAAAAATAAGAAATTTCAGTTTCAGTTGAAATGGTATTCTGATTAAAGAAATCAAAATATATTCACAATTCACTTTTTTATAATTCCAGAGATTCTGATCAGCAGAAGCAAGAATTGCAAAACTGTTATTTATGGAGATTAATCGCTATGTTATGAAAATTCTTTTTTGATTAACCAACTGATTAAATGATGCCAAAGAAACAAGTCCAAACCTGGTGAGTAACGCATTGTGGACAGCTGTTCATTTCCATCTGTATGTACAGTGACCAAATCCTTTGTTTCAGTATCAAACACAAACCACCTGTTAAAAACATTAAGAGGATAAAGTTGTTTCATATGAAAGCTGCTAAATCAGATCAAAGATAGCCTTAGTTCAGCCTCTACAACTTTGTATCCTCCACATAAAAAGTATGTGTTGGTACCCCTTAACAGTTCCTGTTGGTTTACAAGGGATGTAAGTATTACTCTAAACAATGTATATAATGTTTGCATAAAAACTAAAATATTAAGTAAAATTTGTAAATAAATAAATAAATTGAAAAAGGGAAGAACTTTGTTTCAACCCCAGAGGCTATTTATTTTGTGATATGGATCCCATTATAGAAAGTCAAATTAGTTTTTAATGACAAAGTATCCAATGGTTAAACCACAATAAGTAGTCTAATAATGTGGGGTAGACTAGACAGTATGGGCCTAAACCACATACTGTATATCTCTGTACATCATTATGAACATCCTGAGTTGAACACAGGAAGCAGCTAACAGTCTGTTTCTTTTTCTTTTTTAATTCATGTTTTATTTACAGTTTTCCTTTCACACCATACATATTTTGTGGACAGTGCATTTACTGGGTCAATGTCTTTTTTAAATAGTGTTAACAATGATAATACAAATAAGTATATATAAGCCTAATCTTCCAACTTTAACAAATTATTCTCTCTTTATACTTCTTTCTCATTTTTTCTATTAATTCATTTAAGCATTAATAACATTTCTTTTCACCGTGTATTTATTATCCCCTATTAAGTCACTTATATTTAATATTTTAAAATTTACTCATTATTCCACCATACTTTCAATATCCCAAATATCTAGAACTTCTAATCAGACCAAATATTAACAAAATTCAGTAAATCCAGGGATTATATCTCAAAATCCCCACAATTTCTAATCTTTAAAAGTTTTAAATTCACAACATCTTTTAACACACGGTTAATATTAATAATACAATTAAATTACCTAATCCTAAACTTCCACCTTCTTCCTTTAGCTGACTTTTAAATATAGCAAATTCTATTATCTATTAGTATATATGCTATATTTTCTACTTTTCCATTTTATTAACATATTTTATCGCTATCTATCATCTCTTAATCTTTTTGGAGTTCCATCATCTATTAACTTTTTAATCACCTTTTTCTTTCTCTCTCTTGGTTTTTTATAACTTTTTGTAATGTTTTTATACCCACTAAGTATTCTTTTCGGGTTGCCCTTTATCTCTTTCTGCTGCATCCTTTGAACTCTCATACATAAGTCTTTCTTTTTTTAAAAAAGAGATTTTTCTTTTTTTTCCTCTAAACTTTTTTTTTGAAGAGATTTTTCTTTTTCTCTGTAGAGAAAAAGATTTATAAATTTCTAACGAGTTCCTACTGATCAATCCTTTCTCTTAATTATCTTTGTCTTCTTGCATCTCATTTTGACTTTTTTCTTCCACTGCTTTTTCTAATTTCTCATCTATTTTCTGAATATTTTGTTCATCTTTTTCCCCCAGTTGTTGAGGAGCTTCTACACTATTTCTTTATCTTTAGACAATCCCCTTGTCTCCTTATTGTTCTTTATAGTTTCATGCATGTTTTTAAGCATCAAAATTATTTTTTCATATTCCTCTATTATCCCCTGGTAATCCATTTTATTTCAATTCAATACAAATTACTCAATATACCTCTATAGTTCCAATGTCTCAATATTTAAACACTCCCACAGAGCCAGTTATTAGTAAAATTTAATCAATCTCATAGTTATACCTCCAAATCTCCTAAGTTTATAATTTTTAAAATTCTTTAGTATTTTACAGTCTTTTGATCTTCCAATTGTCTTCTCAATTGTCCAAATTTTAAAGTCTTATTTAATTTTCCTTCTTTTTCCTTTTCTTCTGTCACTTTTCTTCTTTTGCCTCGTATGATGTCCTATCAAATAGCATTAGTAGTCCAAATCCAAATTAGTCCACTATGTTTTCTCCAATCTTTCAAGTCCTCAGTCCAATAACCAGTTTCAATAGAATTTAATTATTAGCAATTTAATTTGTCTTTAAAATCTTCAAGAGGGGGTGAAACTCACTCAATAATTCAAAATATACAAATTGCCTTCTAAGATAAGAGTCAAAGTCAGGCCATTTTCCAGGCTCTGTTTACTTTCTTCTGTTATGTGTATTAAACATTCGTCACTTTCACTGAAAGTTCTCACACTGTAGTGCCTCTCCTTTTCCAGTAGATGGCTCTCCATCCAAGTTCCAGCATTAAACAGTATGTCAAAAACAGCTGATTTTCCAATAAATCCAGAGGATTTAAGAATACAAATAAAAAAGACAATTTCTCCCAAAAATCACCTTTCAAGTTGTTTAGCTTTTTCCAGACTTTCTATAATTTAAAGCTTCCTTTGAGCATTCTTTCCCCTCTTAATTTTCAATCCTTAATCTTCTCCATGAGACTAATCGCCATTTCCTCAGTACTTGGAGGTTATTTTTAAAAATTCTTTCAAAAATTCTTATATTTAAATAAAGTCTTTAAAGTAAGAGTTGGATATTATCTCACCCAGTTTCAATGCTCTGTCCATACACTGCTCCAGCATAAATCTTTGGTCCTAGTTGTCCCAGTTTGTGACTGCCAAAAATGGCCGTCGTCCCTGTTGCTGCTCAAGGGAGCTTGCTTCTGACCTAATGAGGAATTTGCGAGTTCCTCATGGTCCACGAAGCGCCTCTCCTTTCTTTGCCGCCCTTACAAGGCGATTTTGATCCCGTAGGGTCTCCTGACAGCAGTTGCTGGCTGGATTTCATGGGACTCAGCGGAGACTGCTAATTTCCAAGCTGTTCTTGCCGCAACATCAGCCAGAAGAGACCAAACAGACCAAATAGTCTGTTTCAAACAGGGTAACCTGGGTCCCTCCAGGAAGCATCACTCACTGTCCATGCTGTGGAATCCTGGAATATCTATATTTCTGAAGTATGTCCCACAGCTACCATATAAAAATCAATTAAAATAGTCCAGGCTTCATATTATGAACAGTTGAGTTACTGACCCTAAGTCTTTCTTCCAAAGACTGAGCTAGTTTTTCAGCTGAATGTAATAAAAGACATTTCTTGACAAAGACATAGTATTAAGTGGTATTCATCACTGAACTGGATCCAGGATGACCCCAAGTAGAAATCTGCATTTAGGAGGGAACCACTACCTTTTCCAGAGATACCTTTGTTCAGACTCCCCAAGTCTGCTTTCTCTGACTTCTCACAAAGAAACAGTAATACTTGTTACAGGATACAACATGTAAAAACTCCTGGGGCCGCAGGGCTACTGCTCTCTCCAACTTCTTGATTTAATATACAGTGAAGAGCATTGTATAACAGTTAAAATTGCATAGGTCCAACACACTTTTAAGCAAAAACCTTTTTTTAAGGTGGTGGAGAATTTTACCTGCAAAAGAACAGCAGAATCAGGATGGAGTCTTCAGTGACCCTAAATATCATGATTTAGGAAGGCTCTATCATGGGACCAGCACAAACAATTCAAAAACCTACCCTCAGCAGTCAAATAACAAAACTGAGACAGACCCTAGTACAGCTAATCCTCAACTTACAACCATTTGCTTAGTGACCGTTCAAAGTTACAATGACACTAAAAAAAAACCTGACTTATAACTATTTCTCAAACTTATGACCATTGCAGCATCCCCATGGTCATGTGATTTACATTCGGATGCTTGGCAACTGACTCACATTTATGACAGTTGCAGTGTCCCGGGGTCATGTGATCACCTTTGGTGACCTTCTGCCAAGTAAAGTCATTGGGGAAACCAGATTCGCTTAACAACCATGTTACTAATTTAACAACTATAGTGATTCACTTAACAAATGTGGCCCTAGATCAGAGATCTGCAATCCCTGGGCCATGGACCGACATCGGTCCATGGCCTGTTAGGCAGTGGGCCATACACCTGGAAGTGAGCGGTGGGTGAGTGAGCAAAAATAAAACCATCCCCCCCTCAGATCCGTGAAAAATTGTTCTTCTATGAAACCAGTCCTGCTGCCAAAAAGACTGTTGCCCTACATGACACTGAACCTAGCATAAGACCAGGGGGTTGCTAATGAAAAACTGCCCAAACTAAGCATAATCAACCTCATATGATATTAGTATACTGATAGCATTTGACATTGACCACATACCAAACAGCCCTAAAAAGGTTCGAGTCAGATTTAGCTTGGTTAAATAAAAATGTCTTTGCTGTAAGTAGATCATAAAGGAATTAATTGCATTAACAAGTCTGCTTTTTTGCCATCTTTTGTTCTACTTTACCAGTATATTGCTTTTTATATTTTATTTGTGAACTGTCTAGACTAGTGGGGAGTTTGGCTGGTGTACAAATATCTTGTATTCCTAGGCTTTGAACATAAGATCAAATATTATTTCGGAATGTCAAATACTTAAAATGTGAGTTATCAACAATTCAGGATGTGGACATGCAAGAAATTATTTCTATTAATTACTATTACTAGCATTACCATTCTTCCTTTATGAAAAGTTGTCTTAACTCATATACAATAGTCAATCTTTATATGAATTTGGATCAAACTTAACGTAACATTCAGGATATAACTTCACTTTTACTTTGTGTGAATACAAGTAGTCCTCAATTTATAACAACTGGGAGCAGCATTTCTATTGAAGGTGGTTGTTAAGTGAGTTGTGCTTGATTTTACAACCTTTTTTGCCATGGATGTTAACAAATTATTGCAGTGAATTATGTGCTCATAAAGTGAATCCTGCTTCCCACACTGACTTTGTCAGAAGCTAGCTGGGAAAGTAGCAAATGGCAATCATGTGACCCCAGGACGCTGCAACTGTTACAAATACTTCATACTCAATTTTAGATCATGTGACCGTGGGGATGCTGGGACAGTCGGAAGTAAAAGGAACAGCTGTAAGTCACTATTTGTGACTGTTGGAGTTCTGAACAGTTGCTGAACAAATGGCTTTAGGGTAAAGACTACCTGCATTTAATCACTAGGAAAACCCATTATCTGAGACAACATATTTAACACTTACCTTCCAGTGAGCGTTCCTACTGCAACTACAGACCCTGAAGGATGAAAACCAGAAGACTGTGCTGCATCCTACAATGTTCCAAAAGAATTATATTTGTTCAATAATAGCCAAACATTTATATATAAAGCAAATTGTTACAAAACAGTCTATGAGCTCTTATTCTTGTTTTAAATAAGTGTTAATAACTCAGTCTCAACTGTTGACAACTCAGTTTACTTGACATGTCACCTGGGAAAGGTAAAGGAATGAAACCTAAGTCAGAAGGGAAATGGATTATTCCACATATTCCAGAAAGAAGTGCCTCAAAGCCATAAAAAGTAATTTTGTGATACAAAGTTTGAAGCATAATTTAAATATTCATATTGAACTGTGGCATTGAAAATAAGATTATCCCGATACAGCATACTGTCAGAGAAGGGTATGTAAGAAATTTTAGCTATCATCAATAATACGAATAAAGTTCCCAAGATATTAAGTCATTAATACATAAGAAAAGAACATGACTAATTATGTGAAATCATTTTTGTTGAATGTGAGACTTCTGAAAGGAATTTATGTAATAGAATTATGCATTTTAAAAACAGGATATTAAGGTCAATATACTGAAATGAAGGCTAAATAATGCTAGGATTCCAGAACTGAATATTTGTATTGAGAACCTTCCAAAATCAAATAAATCCTTGAGCGCACTTGGGAGAGAAAATTGGAGCTATATAAGATGCTGTTCCTACCCTGTTTCGCTGCCTGGAGGCTGTTAAATGGGCTGCAAGAGATTTTGGGCTTTAGGGCTTTCTGCATCTGGGACTTTACCATCTTTGGTGCTGTACCAGACAGACTTAGTGAAATCTAGGTGTGTTCCTGGACTCAACTCCTGTTTAAAGAATAGGTGGCAGTAAGAACTAGGAGGACCTTTACACAGCTTCATATTGAGCATCAGTTATGCCTATTTTTTAATCAAGAGGCTCAAAGTTACTCATGCCCTTGTCATTTCGTCATTCTTATGAAGTCGACCAAAATGACATTCAAGCCCAAATTGTTTATACTTTACCTCACAGTTAATGTAACATGAAAATCATTCAGTGGATGAAGTAGAAACTACAAGGGATTGCTTGGATCTTCTTGGAAAAAAATGACATTTAATCCATTTTACCTGAGAAGTTTCATATGGTTTTGCTCTATATTGACTTTTGATTGAATCTCACCTTAATGGAGGATATGTTGGGGGGGGGGGGGGGCATTGCTTTTTATTGTTTTTATATTGGATTTTTTGTCTTTGTAAACCATTTGGAGTTACTAAGAGTGAATTGGGCTGCCTTATACATTTTTATAAATTAACACATAAATATCACAAATACATTTTATGCAAATAAAGTAAGTCATTTTTATGTTTCCAAAACATACTCATGACATTCCCTCTATTTCAAGTGCTTAGGTTGCCATGGCAGTACCATCCACACAAAAGAGAGCTATTAGCAGATGCAGGAAAATCCACAATTTAGCTAAGTAGAAAAAACCTCAAAAACTGAGCATGCATAAATAATCCAATAGACTATTAATCACCATGGTGGTACTAGTTAGCTGTCTGACTAGACTGGTGAACATAGAAATACTGTGTTTTGTTTCTTTCTTTTTTAATGTATATAAATTCACTATAGGCACCAGGCTAGAAAGCAGGAGACCGTGACTAAGTCTTAGCCATGAAAATCAGCTGGGCCAGTCACTCTTCTCAGCCCAACTCACCTCACAGGGTTGTTGTTGTGGGGAAAATTAAGTGGAGGAAATAAAATAAAGTGAGATTTGTTAAACTGTTATTTTTACAATTAGCTGACTTCTCTCAGAAGTGAACACTCAGGAAGTATATGAAGCTTGGATGAATGCCTGTACAGTATTGCTGTGGATGATATTTCAAATGTTTCAAATTGAAGCATACCATTCTTAAAATTAAAAACTTGTCAAGTCAAGAAATCCTCAGCATGTTACATGATACCAGTAGTTGTCCATACAGTATTGGCCTTATGCTCTACCTAATAGATTATCCAAATAGATTGGGAAGTCATTACATGGAAACGTTGAATGAACCATTTCTATCAAATCTTTCTTACTGTGAACAGTCTCTCTGAGACTGCACCAAATGCAAGATTTATCATTCTCCTTGCTAAAGTCTCTAATAGAGGAAAATGGGGAAAGGGGGATTCTTCTCTTATTCAGACAATAGATACCTAGAAATCTTTCCGTATTACATGATGAAAAGGGGCAATTTCTAACAAGCAGCATGAAAATAATTGTATGAATGGGAAGCTTTGATATTATGTAAGTGAATCAGGTGAATGAATGGGAATTTACAGGATATATATATATATGTATATGTATATATATATGTATACATACGTGTGTGTGTGTGTGTGTAGGTCTAGGTGTGTTCGGGTCTTTTCCTGTGTAAGATTAAGAGTATCTTGGCGACATTTCGGCGAGGTCCCACTCACCATCCTCAGGCTGGTGCTTTCGGCTTCGTGCCAGTGCAAGCAGTGTGTGATCGGAACTGCTGTCTCTCTATAAATACTGGTGGTGGGGGCTGGTGTGCTGGGCTGGTTGGCTGCACTGCTGCCTCTTGATTGGTTGATGGAGTTGATGTTGGTATAATGGGCTGTGTGCCAAGATACTCTTAATCTTACACAGGAAAAGACCCGAACACACCTAAACCTCTGTGTGTGTGTGTGTGTGTGTGTGTGTGTGTGTGTATGTGTGTGTGTGTGTGTGTGTGTGTATATATATATATATATATATAT